CTTGTCAAAAGACGAAAGAAACATCTACATGTAGTCATAATTATATAAACAATACAGCCCCAGAGGAAAGTTATGAGACTCAAAGAGCAGTCAATTTGATAAAATACACCATTAATACAGTAAACTTATTTTGTTTACAATTCATTAATAGACACCTAACTAAATAAACATAAGGTTAATTTATCTACGATGACGTCGCTTTTTTTTGTTGGTGCGCACGTTTCCGTTTTGAGTTTGAGTGGACGTTCCACTAGACGACTGTGGGGCTACTGGCGGAGGCGGCGCCGCGGCCGTCGGTACTGCTGGTGGGGGCACTGGTGGCTGTTGCATTGCGCCTAGCCCAAGCGCAACGTGGCGTTGCATGTTAACATTATTCGAAGGACCATTCTGCCAGTCACTTGGCATTTGGGATCCATTTACAGCTCGAGGGGCTGGTGTCGGAGGCTGGGGGGCGTTGAGAGCAGCTCGCAATCGCTGCCGCATACGCCTACGAGCGCTACGTGAGAGTGGGGCACGTTCGGTACTATTTTCAGCTTGATTGTTTTCCACGGGATTTTCCCTCTCTGATGAGCTAGCGCGTTCGTGCCTATTTTCGATTCTAGCTCGCATTTCTGCTTCAGAACGTACCAGAGCGTTAGCTTCACGTCCGAGCGTTGCAAATGCTCGGGAGAGCCTAGCTACGTCATTTTGCAAGTCTTGTAGGAAAGGCTCTAGATCATGAGCATGTGTATGTGTATTTTCTCGATTGTTTACTCTGTTGGCAACTCGCAAAACAGCACGTGGTTGAGTTTGGGTCGTTAGTTGATCAGGTGGAGTACGACGCACAGATAGTTTACCACAAATTGAAGCAGGTGCTACCAATGCTCTAGCATCCAGTCCATTAACTGTGAGACAATGTCCACGTTTTTTTAGAGAGCCTTCACACGATCTGACAGACCATACCTAAAAATAATTGTTGTCATTAAGAGTCAGCACTGACATAGGAAGCACAGTAACTAAAAGAATATTTTTTTATTTTTGGAAACAACCTTTCCTATAATACAATTATTATTAAACTTTATAGTTATAGTTAAATGTACCTCCAAAAGTAAATGTAAAATTCGCTAAAATTTGTGTAATTTTCCCTAATTCCTTAGGATTGAATGATATTTTTACTTACACAATCAGAGAAAATTGCCTCTCTGTCATTTCCAGAAATAGTGATAGTATAAGAAAATTCGTGGGCTACCCAAGGAGACGCAGCCATGGACAGCCACGCACTAAAGGTATCAGCTGAAACAATAACATTCAGTTGGATTTAATTAAACATTGTGTCAATCAACTTGCCAATTAAACAGTATTCAAGTGTTTCAGGATGTGGTAAAATACTTAGTCACTACATAATAAGCTCCTCTTGGCCAACTGGTTGCACTAAAGTGCTGTTTCAAGGATTTACATGAGCATACATATGCAACAAGTTTATTATAGTAAAATGTTACCAAATTTTTCAACAAAGTTCAATGATACAATTAAAATATACTGCACAGCACAGGCGATTTATTTTATTATAAATAATGAAAGTATCAACAAAATTGTTACTTACTGCCGATATCAATTATCAAAAAGAAGATCCCCATGTCTGCTACTCTAACTGCAGTAACAATTCTTCCAGGGACTGTAGAAAACTGCCAGGCTTGCACATATTCACCATTTTCAGACTTGCCCTAAAAATTAATTAATCATTTTAAAAATAATACTATGAATAAAAAAATCAAAATTTTCATAAAGTAGAACTGTCATCACTTACCTCAATAAGTTCAGGAGAATGGTAATAGCGCAGATGATTGAGCAAACGAGCTGCGGGGAGTCTTGTTCCTTTTGAACTCTTGCATGAGAGACAACGGAAAAGACCTTTACAAGCTTGTGGTGGTCGCAATGCAGATTGCTATAATTGAGAAACATTTAAAGATTGTCAATCTTCTATTAGCAAAAGAATTAATTTAAAAAAAATATTTTTACTTACACTAGACTGCTCACTTGCATCATCAACTACGCTTTCAGCTTCAGGTACTTCATTTGAATTTACTTTACCTATTGCTTTATTTCCAGAGCCAGTATCTGTAGTGACTTTACCACCAAGTTTCTGAAATTATAATTAATTATATTAAATAATACTAAGAAACATTCCAAAAAATATTTTGTGCTATAACTTGTGTCACTTAGTAAAACCAACTATATATTTTGTTAATACTTACAAATGCCCTAAGTTTTCTAACATTGGCAATCAGTTCTTCCATAGCATAATTACGTGTTCCAAAAAAGAGGGCCCTGCAGACTGGGCACACATCCAGACGCATTTTACAGCGTCCACATACATGGTGTCCTTCATTACATTGGAAAATTTGTCCTGATGGGATCTCATAACAAACAGGACATTGAAGTAAATCATCTAAATCTGGCAAAGCATCAGGCTGAAAAAGAAAGAAAATAAATTCATTGTATTAAAAATGTTATATAACATTGGCTTCATATTTAGGAACAACTATTGTCCACTGTGTGGGGAATGTAATTCTTACTCAGAAATTTATTAATTTAATAATAGTATTTTCAAGTCTCGGCATAATGTGTGTTTGTGAAATGACACATTTTCCTACACAATTATTTTTTTAGCATTTGCTTCATAGAAAGGTGCCATGTTGCATTATTTGTTGGACAATACTTAATTTTATGTAATACCGTGACAAATGTATGTCAAGAAAATAAATAAAATGAAATCTTCATAATATTAAAAACAGTTACAATAATGTAGGATGAAATAGTGATATCCTTATACACTAGGACCCCCTGATCCTCATACTTACAACCTGCGCAAAGTCATTCAATACAACTTATAATTTAATTATTGCAAATGGAAAAGTTGTTTTATCAGTTTAATTTTATTATAAATAATATATTAGCATATAAAGGAAAAAGTAAAAACGAAAGTTAAATTATTATTGGTAGGTAGGTACATGAATATTTTTTGGTAGGTAGCTCATTTCAAAATTATTCATTTCGCAAGCAATAACACAAGTTCAGTATAAAATGTTGAAAGGCCTGGTATTATTTGCCTATGAAATAAAAACAATTGAAATCTGTGGAATAATTTACAGACTAGCCAACGAAAAATATAAAAAAAAAACTGCAAAGGTGTTTAGTCAAATGAGGAAAAAAATGGAAAATTGAAGGATAACTACTAGATCATTATCACTATCGATAAATATTTGCTTGTCCATACAAAACAATTTTTTCTAGCCACGAGACTGATGAAATCTCGTCCTGGCAACAAATTTATGTTTCCCTATAATTCCCATTGAGTTTACAATGTTTTCAAAGATATTAATTCAATAGATGTAGAAATTTGTAATCCATAAGTGTTTGTAGATTGGGAAACCATGACTTTTAATTCCATATTTTATGATACTATTGAGATGTGAGAAACGTAAATTTCATGGTCACCGTGTAAATACAGGTGCCTTATTGTTTGGTTCAGCTTAAAAATAAAAACAAGAGACGATAAAAAAATATAATATTAAATTCCAATATAGGGTAGGTATCTTAAACAACTTTCTTGGAATACGTTAACCAAATAAAAAATATAAATCTCAAGTAAATTGCGAAACCTAAAATGGTGGAACATTTTTCAATATAACATACGTGAAATGTACATACAATTATTTATTTAACAAGAAATGTTCGGAAATTAAATAAAACATTTTCTCATACAAAAAGTAATATATCTTCAATACGTAATTATGTCAACCACGAATTTACTCTAATGATTAAATGTTTTGTAAAAAATATCGACCAACGGACAAGGTTGAACAATGGAAGCTTATGTTCATTTCACAGTATACAAAATTTAAGAATACGTACCTTAATTTCCACCTGTTCCGACATAGCGCAAATATTTTCTCAACTAGGGAGAAAATAAATGCTATGTTAAAACAATAACTACCTAAATGAACAGTGAAATTATGGAACTATTTTAGTCTCGCAAACACAGCTGTCGTTTCAGAAATGGCGTCCATCCAATAAAATAAAATAATGTAATGTTATCATTCCACAAATCCACAGCGAAGCGAGCTCTTCTTTGCTGATATTGCAACATTACAAAATTTTAGTTTTTATGATGCGGTCCCTCCTATTCATCGTCCGATTTGAACTCGTTGTGTATTGTGAGGCACAAACGCGACTCTAGGTCTACTGTGCCTATTTTATGATTGGCCCACACTAATGCCTGGGCCACACTAACGGGAAATACCATTAAATATCGCGATAACGAAAAAATTGGCTTAACCCGTAAAATGCTGAAACGCAAACATACGTGAGCCACAATTTGTTTTCTATTGTGTTTTATATACCGACAGACAAGAGAGTAAGCAGGACAGAGACTCCGATAACAGGGAAGCTTGAAACGGAGTGTACACAGTGAACTCTTATAGACCAAAAATCATGCATGAACAAAGCCTAGTCGCGAGAGCTCATCTCAGATCGCTTCAAGAACACGTCAGTCCTCAGACCAAGCAGGGCAAACCCATAATTCACAGTGTTCTCGTAATTATCGTAAACCTAATTAATTGACATGAAATAATAAAACAACAAAACAATTTATTTTTGTTACACATTAACATTGTAAAATAAAACCTAAATGAAACCGGCACTTCCTATGTGACTACTCAGAGAAGAAAAGGCGAAACAAACTCAGTCACTACACTATAGTCAGTCACTTTTAATTTAAAGTTTAAACGTCGCGGCATGATGGAAGCTCCACTGCACCGTAGCTCATTTCACTTCAATCACTGTATCTATTAAAAAAAACCGCATTAAAATCCGTTGCGTTGTTTTAAAGATTTAAGCATCCATGGGGATTTAGGTCAGAGAAAACGATTTTATTTTATACCTACTATTTAGTGATTTATACTTTTTGTGATTTCAAAATTTTAGGATCCCTATGTCAGTGTCATCAGAAGTCGGGTGTCAGTGTCTTTACTCGTGTCAATGTCATGTCAAATGTCAATGCCGTCAATGGTGTGTCATGTTTTCATTTCTAAACAGTTTGTCTTATTTTTTTCTCTTTTAGTGTTATAAAGTTAAATAAATCTTATATTATTAACTTATAGATAAAAATTAAATACAAGAATATAAAAAACCTTTGAATATCGAATAAGTTGCCATCGCTTTGCAGTAATGAAATAACTATGGCATCATATAACTATCTCGTATTATTATTGATTTTTAGTTTTTGCAGATGTAAGTATTTTTGTGCGTATACGCAATAATCTGCTATAAAACAAAACACCTGATTTACACAGGCTTTCACTTACGATAACTACTGATAATGGGGAAATGAAAAAATGGGGCGTTTAGATTAGACTCGTCATCGCTTCGTCATTTACTTGTATTCATTGTTGAGACCTCACATGTTCTACATTATTTAATTATGCTTCAGCTGGAAATTCGCAAAGGCTACATGAGAAAATTTACTCAACAATTGAGGGAGGAGCAGCATGTTTCAGACGTTTAAATGGAACACATCAAACAGGATGTTCATGTATGTATTTTAATGTTTAGCTTATTCCACTTTCAGAAATATTTCATCACTAAGATTACTCACTGACCTACCTTTTCCTAGTTCAATATTATTTTAATGAGAAAAGGTATAATACTAAGTCTACAAACATAGTAATATTTAAGAGGACAGATTGTTTGTTATGAAATTCACAATACACTTGGTTTTTATTGAACCATAGACTTACCCTTGACTCACTGGTGGATATGTTAATCTTAAACTTTTAGCGGCTGATAATGGTGCTGTTGGTGTGGTACATATAATAAAAGATATTACTGATGCCCATTGGTTAATGGAAAATGCCACTGCTGGTCCATACATGGCTGTTGTGAGCACTGGTCTCTTTTACGATGTGTTTGAACTTCTCTTCAAACAGCCAGATTTAATTGCTGGTATTTTATTATATGACAATGCTACTAAAAGGTAAGGATTTATTTGTTGACAGAATATTTTTATTTTATAAGTAATTCAAGGTTCTTCATGGAATTATTCTTATGTAAAATAGCCAAAAAATGTAAACTCATTTCATTTTGTAAAACAGAAATTAATATTTATATTTTTAACTTTTTATTTTAGTAAATGTGTATGCATACATTCTATGAACAATAATAATATTATTTGTGTTTACAGTGCTACACAATTTAGTCAAGATATGAGCTGTCCTAATGACTATTCAGCAGCCGAGGGAAGTTCTTGTTCAGATGGAGTTGTATGGAACCCAAAAGGCACAGGACTCTTACGGAGAGATATACCATTTCCCATATTTTACTTGCCTGAGTCAAGATCACAGGAGATAGATAAAATAGATGAATGCTATCAAAGGTACATGCAATTAAAAGTTGTGCTTAACCTTTTGTCTAATTGAGGTGCATTAAAATGGTTCCCTTAACCACCTGTTGATGTTTCTAGGTATAACTCAGACAGAGACAATCAGAAAGGCAGGCCGCTTTGTTCAATACAGTTACATTCATTTATGTTTGCTGCAGTGAACACTGAAGTATGCTTGAGAAGGTTTGTACAACTGTTGTTATCTTTTATGTAAACATGAATACTTAGTATATTTTGGTATTGAATTATTCGTGAAAGTCCAGGCAATGTTTAAAGTATCAATTATGGAAAAGTGGAGAAGAAAAGCACTAATACCTATAAAATACTTATTTGACAACAAACAAACCTGTCATTATTGTCATTAGTTTATGTTGATGCAGTAAGAAGATATGCAAACTTCTTCAACTGCCACCTACTGTATTATATTTTTATCCCTTGTTTGTCATACAAATCTATTTATCTGTGTTTTATTAATCTGTGTTTTATCGAAAAGTTATTTTTTTTTACAGATCAGCTTCATCAGCCCTTTTAACACCTACCAAAGTGTGTGATCCTTTGGGAGATTACAATGTCTACTATTCACTATTTCCTAGGACAAAGGTAACCATTATGCAATTATGTTTATTTGGAAATTTTTAAAGTACTCTAAACAAGTTAAATGACTTATCAAACATAGTGTTAATATAATCTATTTCATTATACTTAATTTTAACTGCATACAGACTATGCATTTATTATTTATTGGATAAATAATATAAAGAACTCACAGCCTTATGTGCTACCTTAATATCCTCAGCCAGCTCATCCTAATAATATGCCTCAGCCTTATAAGGTGTCCTTTGAGGTGAGGTGCCGGGAATTAGTAATCCCGCGGGCTATCACCATCCTGAATGCTCTAGGGAGGAGTCACCGTTCCTTATTTATATGCCTTTATTGGCTAGCTGGAGTGAATATGCTGAAGAACAGGTCTCCCACTGCTGGCTTGCCTCCATAAGCTGTCTGGTGTTGTCTCTTATGATATTGACTATCTTCAACTCATAAACTAATGCCCAAATCCCTATGTATCTCTGAGTAATGAATCACTTCTTGGACAATTAAATAAGTTTATAGGTGTTTGTTTGTAAACTCATGATGTAATCATTCTTTTAGGACACGAAGAATAAAAAAGTTACTTTAGTGACTGCAAGGATTGACACAGCTTCCTTATTTGACGGTAAAATAACAATAATATGTCACTTCTACGATGTCATTTACCAGTGCTTAAAATATTTGCTGTTTTTGATTAAGTGTTTGCAATAAAGTTGTATGACTTTAGTTTGTAAATAGTACAATGTAAGTTATATACTTTAACAGGCGTGTCCCCTGGTGCAGCGAGTTCCGTTGTTGGTATGGTGACCCTATTGACGGCAGCCACTACACTTTCCCAAATGATACCTATACAAGATGCAAACTTATATGGTAAGAATGGATATTATATTAAGTTTGTTATTACAAAGAAATGTTAATAAACCGAAATATCAAAGTATCTAGGGAAACACTTAAAAGTTTGTGTAATCGTCGGAAAGATCGCATTGGATTTCCACTCGTGATTTGTACTATCTTCTTCTTTTACTGTATTAAGCAAAATTTTATTAAAATTAACTAAAGAATTATGATTATTACTTTCAGATGAAAATATTTTATGGACATTATTCAACGGTGAAGCATTCGACTACATCGGGTCCCAGCGAGTGGCGTACGACATAAGTAAGGGCACTTGGCCGGCCGCAGCTCCTCTTACAGTGGACGACATCAATTTACATGTGGAGATAGGCCAGATAGGAGGTGCCCTGTCTAAACTTGAGCTCGCCTGGCCTCTTTACGCATTTGTGCCTTACACTAACGTTGTACCTGAGGTATGTTACAATAAAATGTACATTGAAACTTGAGTATCACTTTTTGATTACTTCGTATTTGTTAAGGAACTTGTTAGGCTGATTAAAACATTTTCTATTTTCAGATTACTGAATTTGTGAACACATTATGGAGCAACCTTCAACACAATATATCAATAAATACCGAGTTCTCGACTCATTTCCCGCCATCATCCCTTCATTCCTTCCGTAGAATTCTTAAAAATGAAACGGAGAGTGCAGCCCTGCCCGAGGTGTTGATTACCGACCACAATACCGAATTCACCAATTTGTTTTACAATTCAGCATTGGATGGATTCGATAAGATTGATTTTGAGTACCGCAATATCACTGTAGATAGTAATGGAACATGTGAGTATATCTTGTACAAATATTATTGTGTGATAAAGTGTCATGAAAATAATCGAATCCGCGACGTGTGTCGTCTTAGCCTGCTCACTATTTAGTTTATTTCACATCACATATCAGGGGTTAATCACCGTGCCTGCTCGAGTTGGATTGGAGATGTCAAAATTATAAGTCCAGGTTTCCTTACGGTGTTTTCCTTCACCATATTATGTCATCGGTGTCTCAATAACCATAGAAAGTAATTTAACTCTGAAAAAGTCACATTAGTACTTCTCAGGTTTCGAATTCTCACTCTGTGAGATGCGGTCGCCTTAACTCGGGCGATAACGACGTCAATTTCGTAGTTTAATTGGATAGTATCCTAGGTCAAAAATAATTATATGTTTCAATGCAATAAAATATTGAAAAATTACGTTTACGTAAACACGTTTACGTAAATACGTTTATTCATTGATCGATCGATACACTAAGTTTTAGATACTCTTAGATAATTTTAAAGAAATAAGTAAGCTGTTTGGCGCCAAAATACTCTGACGTCATAACTTTGTGTAGGGAAAAGTATAGTTTTTGACATTTGGATAAAAGTATTGAATTTGACTAATAAAACCTACCGTATTCCATATTTCAAAAAAAATGGTTATAATTTGTTTATTGTGTTGTTAAAAAACAATGTAATTATTTTATTTTATTTTCCTGGTAAGTAAGCAACTCATGTAATTCCGAATATATATTGCAGTTATTTCTACTGATGCACTTCTGGCTAATGGTACGATGAAAGAGGTTGACACACAAGTAAAAATCGCGCGACTAGCAACAGGCGTCGCTCGAACGATGTACCAAAGGGTTGCAGGGAAACCATATACTGATAATATCACTGCTTCAGCGCACTTGGTAAGAATACAGTACATGCCATCTGCTATCTTGTGAAGCCTAGATTAAGCTCAATGTCAGTATTTTATATAAAACAGCGACTAGAAACTGAACCATTATGTGCATGAGATTTTTTCTTGAATTTTAGAGTACCTGCTAAAACAGAAAATTTAATTTCAAAATCGAAGTAACCCATTTTGTTGATGTTATTGTTCAAATATCACGTTTGTCTATTCAGTTACTTTGAATAGAAATAATTGTTTTCATATAGGTGGACGAGATGCTGTACTGCTTCCTGCGAAGCCAGGCGTGTCGGTTGATAATGGCGGCGGACTACGCGTCGAGCGGCGGCGGGGAGGAGAAGCCGCCGGAGCGCGCCGCGCCGCTGTACGTGGGCGTCGCCACGTGGGCGTCCACGCCCCCCGTCTTCGCGGCGCATCTGCTGGCCCTGCTCACCGGCACCGCGCTCTCTGTCAACCGCACCCAGTGCGATGCTCTCAACGTACCGGTACGCGCAATGCCAGCTGCCAAAATGGGATATACTTCAAATGTAACACCCTGCACGTCCCATGGCAAGATTTGTCGTGGTGTCGTTGGATAAAGTGACAAATAACTAGCTTTTCTCGCGCGGTTTCATCCGCTCGGCTCCATTTGATCGTAGCGTAATGTTTTATAGCCTATAGCATTCAGGAACATTGTAGCTATCTACCAGTGAAAGAGTTTTAGCAATCCGACCAGGCAGCAGTTCCAAAGATTACCCCTACATACAATCTTACTTACAAATTGAACCTCTTCACAGAGACTAAACTCGTCTATTAATGTGAATTTTAACACATTTCAGGGCTTTTCGCAATATTGGCTAAGAGGGTGGAATCATAGTGGAGTTTGTATGCAGACTACTATGAACATCAGTGCTGCTATCAGCCCCGCGTTCATCATTGAAGGTTAGTTTATTAGTTTATAATTTAGATGCCAATATCCAAACAACTTGCGGACGGCGTACCTCTATAGTCAGAATTTTAATTCGATTTCTGATTTGACATGACCTACTGTCATTTTGTGAAATAAGGATACCACATATAACAGTGTAGTGATGAATACTAAAACCGATAAACAATCAGAGAATTAGTTTCAGGAAGGGATTAAAAAAAATACGGCTACCGAATGGTCTAAATACGTATCCCAATCCCGTCAAAGAAGAGGAAAAAATTAATAAGCTAGATATGTTAATTGACAATAAATATCACAGACAAAATTCATAATAAATGTTACAGAAAGTAACAGCGATAGCGATAGCGATGACGGCGACAATTTATAAAATGTCTGTTTTATTTGTCATGTTCTTTCATGATCACATTTTTTATTAATTTCACACACAATTACAAAAGAAAAGTCTCAGATCGTTAATTAATTGTCAAAACGGTTTCGGTTCAGAAATATTTTATTTCCTGATAAACTTAGTTTACGAGAGTAAATTTATAAACGAGAGCAATCGATTCAGAAATATTCGATTTCCATATCGAATAATTTCGCAACGTCACTATTTAGTACGTGTCATAACGTTGCAACACTGAAATTGTCAAATCTGGAATGGAATTAAAATTCTGAGTATGGGTTACGACGTTCTTTTAGATATTTGTCTTGTTACAAACTTGCTCGTTACAAACATACGATATGTAACTGTGAAATTGAGCACGGAGCAGAAATTGTATGTATGTGATATTTTTTAAATACCTATCTATAAACTTGTGAAGAAAATCAATCAGGTATTAAACCCGCAAGTGCAGGCAATGGGCACGATTAAAATAGTAACGGAAAGCTTAACCGGTATTACGGTGGTTTATTCCAGACTACGACTTGAAGTCGGGCGTGTACTCGACGTGGACGGAGTCGGTGTGGCAGGCGATGTGGGCGCGCGTGTTCGTGCGCGCGAGCGGCGCGGGCGCGGGCGTGGCGGCCGCCGCCGGCGCCGCCTTCACGCTGCTCGCCGCGCTGCTCACCTACTGGCTGCAGCGACACGCCGCGCTCATATTCTCCGACGCGCCCCGCCATTCCATTGTCAACGACGACGCCGCCTCCGGGTAATTTATCCGCTTCTGCTTGGGCCACACTAACGGGAAATACCAAATTATCGCGATTATTGACGATTAAACAATGAAAAATAAACCTTAAGTCATTTGTTTAGCAATCAAATTACACCTACGATTAACGTCCAGTATCGCGATAATTTATGGCATTTCTGGCCCAAGCATTATACAACACTCTACACTAATTTTTATTCATTTTTTTACTAACTTTCGCTCGCGGCCTCGCCTTTGCCAAATTTCATCCAGATCCGTCCAGTCGTTTTGGCGTGATTGAGTAACAAACATCTAAACATCGTTACTTTCGCATTTATAATATTAGTTAGATTTATACTTTATTGTACGCAATAAAATAAAGAACAAAAACCTGGACTAGGAGAAATAACAGTGGATTTTTTAGTACTTTCGTACACTCCCTGACGGTTCGAGAGAAGTCGTTTGATGCTTTAGTATTCTTGAAACCTTAGATACACTAACATTTCGTCAGTTTTGTGATTTTTTGTTATAAGGGCAAGCCGATTACTAAATAGACCCACTATCTTTGCGCTCGAAAATTACTCTTCTATTAACCTACCAAACTAAATTATTATTTCTTGTCTTTTCAGTATACTAAGAACTGTCAACTGTTGAGAAGAAACTAGAAAAGTATTAGGGAAGAAGACTGTCCATGTGAGGGTATAGTGTGGGGGAGGAAGAAAGCTTTGGAGGTAGACAATAGAAAACATTCCATGCCTGTGTAGTGTTAGCCCACACTACTGTTAATGTATCGGTAAACGTCGATGCCCTCGCTTTAATAATTATTAATTATTAGAATACGTGTTAACTATAGCTAATACGAATAAACAGTTTTTACATACACATATCTCATGCGAATTCCCACATCATATACACAGTAAATATCAAAATAATTAATAATATCACTAAGTTTTAACATTTCACTGCTGAACTCTGAATGCAAGTGTTATTAGAAATAATAAATTATGTTTTATATTTGATATTTATTTGATGACATGCCAATTCAAGCTTTTTATGACTAAATGAAAATAAAAATGTTTTTTACCAAATTTATCTTTTATTTATACTGTCGAACTTAGAAACGTATATATTAGGTTTTGCGTAAGACATTTTAAAAGATTAGTATATAATGTTCTACTTTTGCTCTGCTTCCAACATTGATCGACAAATTTTGCATAATCTGTTACTGCATGCACAGCTTGAAACAAAGTTTCATGTATGACTTGGTTCTGACTATACTCGTACACATTAAGACAGAGATTCACCAAGTTCAAATCATTGCACAGGTTGCCCAAAAACAATTTGCTCAACAGAGATGTGTTTTGTTCAATGCAGCAATTTGTACTCGCACTTCTTGTTTCGTTTTGTCTATATTGATTGAAAGTCATTGCGTTTGTAGGGAAAATGAATGATGTGCCAACACTTTGGTTTACAGGAAAAAATAATGCAATATCAGAGTTACTTAAACTGTATAAAATATCTGTGTTGCTGCACCGAACGTAAGTTTTTCCGTCGAAACTTTCAGTTGATCCTAAATCACACAATGATGATAATTCGTGGTCACTTGCTGTTGATATCGTATAGTATGTTATTGCTTTTAATGAGTTACGTGGTCTTTCATTTAATTTATTTATTGTGTGCCAATTTCTAGTTGATACAGATTTTCGTAAAATATATTTGTGAAAGTAACTCCATTCCCGCATTTTTGATATAAATTGTTTTGACGAGTTTTCTGCACATATCATGTATATTCCTTTTTTCAATATTAAGTTTATTTCCGTGCTCAAAATTGGGATACCATATGAGATCAACACGAAATAAAGTTGCCTCATAACATTTAAATTGTTTACTTCAATGTTTACTAAGATTATATTCAGTACAATTCCTTGAATTACATTATGAAAATACCATTTTCTTCCATAAACAGTGGGGACTTCTATTTCATAAGTTGGAAAGAAGCACCGAGCCAGGTTACAAACAGCCGTTAGAGTTTCCAATAGAGGGCGTGAATATTTGCGTATAGATATTTTTAATCCGCTACAATGATTTTTTATTTTGATATCAAAATGTTTGTTTGTCACATTACTAAAAAATAAGGATGTATCTCTTGCCTTGTAATTAAAATAACCTTTTTTAAGACTTTTTTTAATGTTTACTTTCTTAAGTTTGAATAACTCTTCCACGTTTTTGGAATTAATTACTAAAATCACGGCGCTTAAATCAGGAGTATTTTGAGTTTCATTTAATTCTCTGAATAAACGTTCCATAGTTTTATTAGTGCATTCCATGAATATGAGTAAACGATTTACAGCCGTTCCAAAATAATTATAGCAGCTATTTGCCCCGAAAGTGTGATTGAACCTGCTATAGTAACATTTGTGTTTAATATCATAAAAATATATATCCTTTGGTTTAAGCATTAAATAGCAATTATTTTTCTGACATTGGTAGACATCAGTGTTTTCTGGAACTTCTCTTCTTTCTACCTTTTTCTTTTGTCGAACATCATGAATATACTTGTCTTTATTATAATCATATCTGGTTCTGAGCTCGTCGATTTTTCTGTATGTTTCTGCGGAAGGGGTACAGTAATCTCCACTTTTTGAATGATTTTTTAATTCCGAAAACGTTTTTGCCTGTTTTCGTTTGGAGTAGATGGACTTGTGCTTATCTTGTTTTGGTTCCATGTATGCTGTTAGTTTTGCAAGTGAAGTACATGTTCGTAAGTGTTGTCCCAGTATTCTGGAACAAGATAATAATGTAAGTAGATAACTAGATACCTACTAGGTGCGCAGCTATAAAAGAAAGAATCTAAGAATAATGTGGTGTTAAAATCACCTTTCTTCTATTTTAAATTTATATTTTATCGGAAATCTGAAAGCAGCTTGCCTGGGAACATTGAAGTTCTTTGTACCCATAAAATGTTACGCTAAGGGATAGGTACATTCATAAAAGTAAAAATAAACTGAAGCCCTTACCTGTATGAAATTGTTAATGACGTGCTAGATACTTTATTTGAATATCTTTACTCCATTAGTTAATTACGAACATGTTTCGAATACGTTTTTGATGTTTGTTCGTTACTGTTACTTACATTTTAACAAATTTTGACGTCCCCTGATTATTATTACGCTCTTGATTGACATTTTTATACTCTTTGCTACTAAGTATTAACCAAAAATAAAAGCGTAGGTATATTATGTACTTACAAACCGACCACAAAAGAGCTTTAGAACCTTTTGACTACATTCTGCAATGTAACTATGTAAAAATCCCTAAAACTTATTTCTGCGTAACCTAGTTAGGTGCACATTTATTGCAAAGACCTCCAAACATACAATCATCAAACGGTCCGCGCCGAACATTCTTTAATGTGCACCTGCATCCCCGGCTGAACATCGTGTCGTGTGTGCCCCCCTATCTGTGGAGTTCTGATGGCTCTCTGAAGTGCACGTGGATCGCGAAGGGGCATTAGGAAGATAGTTCCCGTTCGCGCACTGTCTTCTCTTTAACGCAATTCTTCAATGGAAAGCATGACTGCTTTCCATTGAAGAATTGCTGGATGCAGGATTTCCCATTTTCTTAAAGGCACAAAAGAGACTGTAGGAGAACTGGCAGAAGCCTAATCAGTTATTTCGAACAGTTTTACCGTAGCTAGGTTGCAGTCCACCAGGTTTTGGGGCGGAGTTTTTAGCGCTCTACTGGCAGACTACCGCTCTCAATTCAGAGGATGGATACCACTCCGTATAACTCCTGCCTGTGCCGGATTCGTGCTACAGTACACTCGGAGTACTGAAAAATCTGTACGTATAGGTACGTATTTTGCCCGATCTGAAAACTGTCTTGTGCTTGGCACTATTGCATTTAAGGCTGGTTAATGTATGTACCAGATGTTTGATTTGTTTGGTAAAGTAAGTTTCTATTAAATAATTAACGGTCTACTCAATGTTTCATGCATTTTAAAAGACTGTCTTCAGAAAAGACCTGCTTTATTATTCTTATCATTTACTGACTGAAGCCCACTTAATAGATGTAGTAGGCCCAGATGGAAAAGTGGCGAAGCGAACTCATCCATTAATATTCGAACTTGTTTCGAATAAAAAAAAATGAAAAAAACTTACGGACGTTTCGTTTCACTACAGTTTTTGCCCCCATACAAAGATATGTCAACATTGTCAAAGTGACAGCTGTCATTTTACCAACACCACCATGACTTCGTGTTTGATTAGAAGTGTGAAATGCATTTGTAATGATATAAAGTTCGCGGCAGCAAGAGCGTCGGGTCCAACAAAGAATTTTATTAATCGTCCCGTTTATCGAATTTATTCAGTTACGCCCAAGCAAAACCCGAAGATGGCTGATAGAACATTACCTCAAATATTTAAGTACGTTGATGATAATAAAGAATCCTATAAGCAACTTTTAAAGGAAGCAGTTGCAATTCCATCGGTATCTTGTGATGTTAAGTACCGTAAGGATTGCGTTCGTATGGTAGAGTGGATGCAAGAGAAATTAAAGGAAGTTGGCGCTACCACTGAGCTTAGAGATGTTGGCTACCAGACCATTGCTGGTGAACAAGTTAAACTACCTCCTGTTTTGGTAGGCGTATTAGGAAAGGTAAGTACATACTTGTTTCTCAATATTTCTTAGCTGCAATAAATTACTGATTAGCTGAAATAAATTGTATAACAATATACATTAGATTTATAAAAAGTCAAAGTTATTAATTAAATAAACTTTTCCTATGGGTATTTTTTTAAAGCTGTTTTTCAATATTCATACAGTTTTCAATTATTTCTATTGACTACAGTTTAACAAGTGTTTCACCAACTTTAAGACTAAATTTGTAGGATGGCAGCAAAAGATTTTTTGAGTTTGATAGTTGCTGTGTCATTGTTATAATACCAAACTAAATATATAAGTTTAGGTAATAAATGATCTTTAATTTATGAACTAACTAGAACCTGTTTTGAAATATTTTTAAAGCCATAGATTTAAATAATCTTTTTAAATTTAATTTTATACACCATAAATAGTTCATTTACCTCTAATAGATAGAGCAAAGACCTTTGAAACTAGTTTTATATGTACAATTTTGATATTTTAGGATCCCAAGAAAAACACAATTTGCATATATGGCCACTTGGATGTCCAGCCAGCATTAAAGTCTGATGGGTGGGACACTGAGCCCTTTGAGCTTGTGGAACGTGATGGCAAGTTGTTTGGACGTGGTTCAACTGATGACAAGGGTCCAGTACTCGGCTGGCTTCATGCCATCAATGCCTACAAAGGTGTTGGTGAAGAGGTAAGAAGACTTCAGCAATGATATCTATTCTTCTTTGTCTTTAATGGCAGGTAAAATAGTACATGTATTGACCATGTGATAGCTCCTGTGTGACAGATTTATAACTTCTTTTCAATGGTAGAAATTTCACTTCAACACTTGTTTTCATTTGCATGTGATTCAAGTCTTGCACACAAAAATTCCATGTACAAGATAAAATAAAACAACTTTGACCATATTTGCAGCTGCCAGTGAATCTGAAGTTTGTTTTTGAATGCATGGAAGAGTCTGGTTCAGAGGGCCTGGATGCTTTGCTTATAGAAAAATTAAAACCAGAAGGTTTTTTCAAGGATGTAGATTACGTTTGTATATCAGACAACTACTGGCTTGGCACCACTAAGCCTTGCATTACTTATGGTCTGCGTGGTATCAGTTACTATTTCCTAGAAATTGAGTGTGCTAAAATGGATTTACACAGCGGAGTTTACGGTGGTACTGTTCATGAAGGTAAGATGATGCATTCAATTTCAATAATTAAATTTGTTTAGCAATGACACAGAAAAGTAAATGCTCGACTCAAGTTAGGATATTATTGCACATTTATTATTATAAAAGAAGAAGGAAAATAGATTCTATTGTTTCATAGGTTCATTAATTACAAAAGAATATTGCCTTGCTGTAATTGAACAATGGTTCCAATTTGTTTGTTTAATAATGCAGTGTTTAACAGAAAATAATAATCCTAATTGTTAAACAATAAATGTT